CAGCAGAATTTAAAGTTTTTAATATAATATCACCAGTTATACTGCCAGCTATTGTGCTATTTCCATTAATTAATTCAAAAACACTTACTTCATATTGATGATACTTTGCAACAAGAGCTTGAGCTTTAGTACCCTTAATAACAAACCCGCCATCAACTGTGCCTAGGTTGGTAAATTTAGCTATATTTCCATTGTGATCTTCTGATCTTAAAGGAAATGCTTCCCTATGATTATTACCAATATGAACGCCACCTTTAATAGTGCCATTATTTACAATCTCAGCATTTACTATGGCACGTGATCCTGTTAATGCAAAGCCACTTTTTGACCCTGCTATGTTTACATCGCTATCGATTATAAACTTGTTAATTAAGTTTAATACTATAGCTGATGAATTACTAATAGTATTAGTAATTTCTAAGCCTATAGCACTTGTTGCACCACCAAAATTACCCTTAAGCACTATACCTGTTATACTTTCTATACTCCCAGGAAAAGGTCTGCCACTTGGCTTTCCTGTAAATAAATCAAAAACATTAGGTATTCCAGTTCCAGTTTCAGGAGTTGCTTCTATGGTTAAAACTTCATTTGATGCAAGCGTACAATGACCAAGGCGTGAGGTAGCAGTAGCAAGAGTGCAATAACTAGCAATTAAAATTACGATACTAAGCTCTAGGATTTTCACTTTTTTTGCAAATATGTTTCTAAATTCTATTTTAAATATAAACCGACACAAAAGCTTAGCAAAACTGTTTAATCGAAGAGCTAACCGCATAATAATCTCTTGTTAGGCTGGAATATAAGGACAAAACATATTTATAGTATAAAAGTCTGAAGTCGTCAAATTATTAGAATAATTCTGTTGTCTATTTATTTTAATAAAAATAAACTATGTAGTTAATATTATTAGCACAAAAAAACCAGCCGAGGCTGGTTTTTAAAAAGTTTAACTTGGTGATTTTTAATTAAGTGTATAACTTTAGAAGCTATAACGGGCTACGAAAGAGCCGCCATATTCCATAAGTTTATGACCTATGCCTAAGTTAAGATCGATACCAAATTTGATATTTGGATTAATTCTAAAACCTAGTGAAGCATCTATAGCACATTTATGCGCACTTGGAGTACGGCCTTTTACATTTACTATAAATGCATCTGCTGCTTTAGCGCTAGTAGGATCAACTAGAGTTAGGTCTTGCTTAACATCGCCCATAGCATGAGTGAATTTATAAGCTACACCAACACTATAATCAAACTGCATAGCATCACCTACAGGTAAGCTATCTTTAGTGCCAACGCCTATGCCAAGTTTTATTAGGCTATGACCAGATTTTGGAGTTTTTGCTGTAGTTGGAGCTTTTTTACCGTCTGCTGCATGATTATATTTATTTTCACGCTCTTCAGCGGTTACATAGTTAAAACCAAGGCTACCACCTAAGTTAAGATTAAAGCCTTCGGCAACTTCAAGTGCATAGCTTCCAGCAGCATTAATGCCGAAAACACCGCCACCATGTTCGACATCATGAAGGAAATCTTTACCCTTATGCGAAGCAAAAGCATAGGTTAGAGCTGCATTAATATCGACTTCTTCAATACCGGCAGCGCCGTATAATGAAATTGCATGATGGTTGATATCTCTATCACCTATTTTGCCGTCCGATAAACCACCTTTAATATCGTTACTAGATTTATTAAAGCTATAGGATAAACCTAAAGTATAATCATTGTTTAGCACAGTATCAGCACCTAAGCTAAAGATCATCGCTGTGCCTTCGCTATAGCTTTGATTATCATCGTTTTTAGATTCATGTGCTAAGAGATAACTAAAGCCAGCCCAAATGCCGAGGTTTTCATCGAACTCACCCGAGGTAATACCGTAGCTATCGGAATTACTAGCAATGCCTTTGCTAGAAACACGAGCATTAATATGTGAGCATAGTTTGTCGTACATTATGCTAGCAACTATAACATGGCAGCTAGAGCAATCGGGCATTACCATATCGATAAATAAATGACCATTGTCTTTGGAATGTTCTGTTGCATCGCTCATAAGGTCGGCTATTTTATCTTGATGATCGAATACACCTTTTTTATCTGTAGTTTTTAATGCAACACCGCCTACAGTAGTTTTAGATGCTTCTGTTACTGCTTTGTTAATAGTGTGAGCATTTTTGAATTTTGTAGCAATATCGCTAACTAAAATAGGATCGTTTGGAAAGAAGTGTTTAATATTGTCGTCGATTTGTTTTACTGTTAAAACAGATTCAATTCCAGCAGTAGTAATACCAGTGTCAGTTGCTTCTATTATATAATCGTCGCCCCCCGTCTTCTTAGTAAACTTTTTGGTGTATAATAAAGTGCCAGTGGATTCTACAGTTAATTTACTAGCAGTTGCTTGAAAGAAACTAATTTTACTAGACTTATTTTTAGCATCAGCATTTTCACTACAAAGCACAATTTTAGAGCCAGATTTAAAAGTAGCACTGGCTACGGTTACTATGCCATTAGCAGTACTAGCAATCGAACCACCAAAATTCAAATGCAACTCACTGCCGCTTTCGCCTTGGTAGTGGCTTACTTTCATAGTA